CAGCCGTGAGTGAAATTTCCCGCCAGTACTTATAAACGTAAGAACCACTGACGGGCCGTGAGGTAGGGGTAAACTTTTGAATGGGAAGGATTTGTGCAACGCCACTTGGCAGAAAGGTGGTCCAGAATGTTTGCCGGAGCATGGGCTACTTTAAATTTGGCGGCACAGCCTTTATTGTTATTTTGCAGACGATTTTCGTGTCGACTGTGAGCTGTGCCGCCATTGGGGGCTAAGCAGAAGGACGGGGGCAAAGCAGAATTGCGCCGGGGGCGTAGAGGAACGACGGGGGCGAAGCAGATTTTTTGCGGGGGCGAAGCAGAACGGGGCGGGGGCGAAGCAGAACGGCGGGGGCGAAGAGGAAGGAGTTTCATGGGGGTGAAGACGTGGTGACGGCACACTCAAGTCTTTTCAACACCAACATAGGGGGCATATGCAATCCTCATTTTCACCTTGGCGAAGTGAAGGAAAGTCGTGTAAAGTGTTTTTTGTAATGACACAATGTCAATGGCATGTCAGGATTCGGCCCCCAGGACCTCTTGGTTCCGAGTTGAGCACTCTGTCGCTACGCCACACGACCCCGCGACATTTGGCAAGGACGTTTGTTTACTAGTAAACCCAGATGAAGTTACACATGCACTTGCGTCACTCATTTAGATACATATCAGGAGAGTCTTAATAAACAAGCTCTTTGAGTCTTCTTTATTGTTTCCACAACAAGAACCGCGCCAAACTTCTTTTTTTGAGATTAGACAAGACAATAGTGGCAAAAATGCATCAATAGCGGCATGCTGCCACAATATTGTGTACTAGCAGCTAAGCTTGTCCATGACCTTTGCAATGCTTACAATAAGAGACATCTAGTAACCGTAGTAAAGGCACTGTAAGTGTACTACCATGCTTAAGTATTCTTTCAACCGCGAACTTAAAACACCGCAAAAATCTCATTTCCTTTCCTAACGCGAAATTTATACCCCGCGAACAAAAATAAATTTACAGTATATTTATGTCATACCTGAGCCGTGAATACGTTCGGTATGGGTGTTTCAGACCGGGCCGTACTTAAAGATACGTATCGGGCTTCTCTACGCGTATATATATATAACGTGGGTTTATATT